TGAAAGTCAAGGTAAATTATGAAGGATGCTAAAGGATGTAATTTAATGTCTAATAGACACATATATATTTGTTTGTGTGAATATATATTTATATAGATGGATATATTTTCTTTACTCTCTTTAGACATACACAAATTTCTCTCTCTCTCTCTCTCTCTATATATATATATATATATATATATATATATATATAGTAATCTGTTGGTATAATCCAGGCGTGTCCTATCAACACAACATAGAATTTGAAATATGTTAAAACTCACTCAGAAAAGAGCACTCAATGTTTATTTTCATTAAACAGAGCAAATTTTCTTTACAATTGGAATTAAGATACCTTTAGTTAATGACCATTTTTTTTTATAACACTCTCTCTCTCTCTCTCTCCAAATAAACAGTATCCCACTACAAACTGATACCATAAACAGTCTGAAAAATCCTGCAAATTTTAAATTTATAGGTGAAAATGGTCATTAACTAAAGGTATCTTAATTCCAATTGTAAAGTGTGTGTTTGTGTTATATATATATATATATATATATATATATATATATATATAAAGGGAAGAGGTTAGTAGTTCTGACGAAAGAAAAGTTTGTATATTAAAAAGAAGAGAGAAACCACAAACGTTTTTGGTTGTAATGTGGATTTTTTTAAAAAACATTATGCTTTATTTTCCATAATTTTACTACACCTGTTTTCTGGTCTCATGACCTTCATCAGGCAAAGCATGGAGATTTCCACATATTATTAAAAATAATTAATTTTTTTTATGTTTTTCGATGTTAAATATTCTTGATAAGAAACATTCTCTTTTTAGTGTTAGTGACCCAAATGTCTTTCTTGAATATATATAATGCTAGCCAAAAAGCTTGTTTGCTTATTAAATAAAATAAATTACTGAATAAACCAAGCAAACCTTTGTGTTAATCCAATATATTTTCTCTCTGTGTCTCATATGTCATCATCAGTGGCAGCTTTATCCAAAAATTTAATTTCTTCGTTGCTGATTGCTTCCTTTATGATGATAGGGTTGATGACTAGATTCCCCACAAAATGTAGGATCAGGACTGGAAGCTTTCAGTTTCACCAAAACCTGCTCCCATCATCCATTCCCTATCACTGTTTGGCTTTGCAAGAGTTGGTTGAAGGTGAAAGAAAATCAAAGTAGAAGAAAGTGCCGATGGCGTGAATTTGATTAAGTTGAAGCTCAACTTGCCAGGAAGTGACCCACATACTTGATTTCATGACCTTCCCCTCTGGTAGATATGGAATGATACACATAGAATCCAGTTATGAAACTGTAATGCACTGCTGCTGCTGATTGTTATAATATGTATAATTTTGAGTAGCACCTTTTGATCTGCTGGTTCAATCATTGAGATCTGTTGTAATAAACATCTGCTTGTTCCACTGTTGGGGTCTTTGGAGTGGGTAGCGCTTAGTCCAAGTCTTCGTCTTTGACCTTGCCACCAAGGAGCAATGATCAGAAGAATAAAATGTATTTTTTTTTTTTTTTTTTTTTTTTTAATCGAGTTCACCCCATGCAAGACAGTAAAGCCACTAAGACACAAGGGATGTGGAAGAATCAGAAACAGAAATATTAGTAATGAGAACAGAAAGAGTAATCAGGAGGGCAGTAGATGATAATTGACATTGCATTTAAATTTTTTAAGATCAAAGTTGGCTGGAAAGCATGGAGCGGGAAAAGAATTCTACAAGCGAGAAGAGTGAGAAAAGAAAAGTCTGCATACCATGGTGAAGAGCTCATCTGAACAATTACCATGAAAGTATTTATAGAAAAAATGAAGGGAGGCAACTTTACGGTAGTGGATAAGTGACTGAAGCCGAGATGCCAGATCAGGATCAATAATATTGCTGATTCTTCTTTGGCTTTTAGCAAGAATTCCTAGATAAATGGCAGGAGCACTGGATCATATGTGGCAGCAATATTCAAAGCATGGATGAATGGTAGACTTATAGATATGTAGGATAGATTCTGAAGAGAAAAATTGTCTTGCACAACACAGTGAATCAACTTTCTTAAAAAGAAATTGGAAATATTTTAAGAAATGAGTAAATATTCTTTTTAGTCATGCTGTTAACTTTTCAGCACCTCCTCATGTTTAACTGCACTCTGAGTGCAAGCACATATCATGATAGGTTGTGCGAGAAGACTATACTTTAATGGTCATCTTCTAAGTTATGAAAATGTTGCCTTGGAAGTTGTTTATAAATACAATGAATCTATTTGTGTGTGATGTGTATATCGCATTTCTGTTTGCAGTTGTAATTCGGGCTCATCACGTCTTTATCAACATGTTATCTTTATATTTATATTTGTCTCTAGCGTGTTTCTGTACAAAATCTTCTTTTTTTTATGGCTCTCTATTCATAATAAGCAAAGTATTAAGATTGAGGAAAATTTTATTAGGAACAAAGAAAAGAGTGCTGAACTGCTATGTCATATCTCCTGTATAGAAGTGAAAGTCAGACAATCTCCTCAAATATAAGGGACTTGAAGCAACATGTGGTTCTAATGATAAACAATGAGAATATCATGGACAGAACATGTGAGATACAAGAAAATTTTTAAGAAAAATAGGAATTTGTGGCAATTACAAAAAAATCAGTAAAAATAAAATAAACCCTTTTTCTGTCATTCAAAAAAAAAAAAACAGTAAAGACAAACAGGAAGTAGAAAGAGCTTAATCAGCTGACCTCAGTCCCATAATTCCAAAATGAAATTCTTACTCTTTTTGCCAATTGTCTTTAAAGCTGGTATAGAATGTCATGTATGATTTTCTTTGAACATAAAATCAAGATAAAAAAAAATGACTTTATTTACATTATTCAGACTATTATCCTCATCTTTGTTGTCATATTTATTACAACATTTCGGCCATTGTACGCTCCAGCCTTCTTCAGGTGGTTGGAATATTGAACTGAACCCTTTATTTCAATCACTGGAGTAGACTGTTCTAGTTCCAGGTGCCATGTTTTAATGGATATCAGTTATAAAGAAATAAAGGGTTCAGTTCAACATTCCAACCACCACCTGAAGAAGGCAAGAGCATACAACGGCCGAAACGTTATAATAAATATGGAGACAAAGATGAGGACAATAGTCCAAATAATGTAAATAGTGTACATAATTCCTAATCTCAGAAATATAGACAAATACTAAAAAAATGACTACAGACTCTTACAGTCTCTTCAACCAAACCACAGCTCCCATTTCCCTTATCTGTAAGTTACAGCTAGTAACCAAAGCCTTATGAATTTTCACTGTAATGAAAATGTTGCAGGTATAAACACTTTTGATGAGAAGTTATAAGCTTCTGGTACATTTGACTCACTAACAATTTACATACAAGTGAATAACATGTAGATCGTATTTCAGTGTTTCCCAACATGGGTGCTAGTGCCTCCTTGTGGACTCTGTTATGTTGAAAGGGAACACTGGGAGTTTTTATTTCATTTAATGAGCAGTGAACATACTCGGAGGGCCAGTGAGCATTTATCTATTATTTTTTTTTTTTTTTTCAAATATCCAAAAATTCTTCAATATTGGCTGCAAAAGGAAATTTCTGAAAGGCATCTAAAGCTGTGGGAAGATGGTTTTTCCAACTTCCTGTATGGTGACATGTGATTTCAATGCAGTTATTTCGATGCAGTTCAACAGGATAGGAACTTGTGGAGAGTTATGATCACCTACATTCTGAGAGGACATGGCACGTAAAGAAGAAGGAAAGAGGAAGGGAGAAAAGGGAGAGATAGAAGAAAGGTTGAAAGTTAAGCTAGTGAAAAACTAAAAAGAAAACCAGATGAAAGTAATGTCTCTCCCATATATATCTCTTGCCAGCCAAACAATGATTCATTGTTTTCCTGGCAACTATTCTAGGCAGAAAATAATAAATAAGCAAAAAAAGAATCCTTCTTGCTAACAAGTCAACTGACATCCCTCCCCCACATTCATTCTATATATATATATATATATATATATATATATATATATATATATATATATATATAAATCTTAAGAATGCATATCTCCTTTTTAAGGTTTTTTGAAAGGCCATAAATGCCCGATTTTGTATCAGGAGCATAAACAAATCAATTTCTGAAAAAATAAATAGATTTATTTTTATTCTGACATTTTTATTACTTCAAGTGTTTTTATTTTTTATTTTTTTTGTGGATATCATGTTTGAAATAGATGTGCCTGCCTTAAAAGGGAAAATAAAACTTTGCTAGGCTGTAATGCCCTCTTTGGTTGAGCAATTAAATGATGGTTTCTCATATAAAATACAAATTTAGAGTTTATCACTTACCTGATGGGGGTTACCTTCAGCATCCTGACTCCAGAGTTTCACAGAAATCAATCTGTCCACTCATCAATCAGAATTTTTTTTTTTATATATATATATATATATATATATATGCAATTTTCATTGGTGATATATTTGATATTTTTTATAGTGCATGTACATGGCCATGCTCATGCACCCACATGTAGAATTCCATGGCCATCTCTCCTTTGCATCATATTTTTGTTCACTTGATAAACTCCTTATTGGTTTTATACTTTTTCTCAGTTGTAGTAATTTTGACATCCAGTTTTCTAGACATTCACTCTTTTTACTTCTAAAGAATTGATTTATTTTTAACCTGACGTTTTTATTACTTCAAATATCATTATAGCTGATACTCATATTTGAAATAGAAGACCCATTTTTATTTTTTATTTAAACAGGCCAACATCATTATTTTGGATTTAGGGCCTCTTGATCAGGTTGAGAACTTTTCAACATGGACATGCTTGCTGGTTAGATATCATGGGATAATGATAGAAAGATTAAAAGGTGTGTAGGAATGAAAAGATGTAAAAATAGGGATGCATTCAAATTTCTTTTGGAGAGATAGAGTAAAATAAAGATATAAAGTAAGACATAACAAAAAATGTTTGGGCATTTTATATTCTCTTTTTTTTTTTCTGCCTTACAGCCATATCACATTAAAACACTGGTTCTCATCCAATCACTGAAGTTTAGCAATGATGAACTTGGTCAGTATCTAGATGGGTGACTTCTTGGGAATACCAGGTGCTGTAGGCTTGAATATACAGATGGATAATGGCTTGGAATTGGAAGTCAGAGACCCAAGTTCCAATTCCAGTTCAGTTTGTTATATTCACTTACACACAAATACAATTGGGAAAGGTATGAATCCACCTCTTGTGTTGTTTAAAGCCAAAAAATATTTTTACATAGTAAGAATTTTTTTTTTTTTTCTTGAGAGAAAATGATTTAATGATACAAGTCTTACTAATTAATCCATAGCTGAGGGAGAAGTGGATTCATATCTTTCTCAATGATATGTGTGCATAAGTGAATATAACGAATCTAACTGGAATTGGAACTCTGCTCTCTGATTTCCAATTCTGTTCCATTATCTTTACACCGCCTGCACATTCAATTTTACTGCACATATCTCGGTACTGACCATGCTTGACATTGCTTAAATTCAGTGGTCATACACGAACCAGCGTTTGAAAGTGATATGGAAATAAATTGAAAAAGGACACTAGGACTTAAGAATTTAGATAGAAAGCTGGAGAATCTGGTGATTGAAATGTAGTGATCAAAACAACAAAGATGTACATAACAGTTTTTTAAAATTTCTAGAATAATGATGCTACTTCAACTTGGAACTTTAAACAACACAAAGAGGGTTGTGGAACAAAGAGCCCAACAGAGTAATCAAAACAAAAATAATGAAGATATCTGGATACTGGAATCATAAGAATACGTCATCTCTGATCTTCAGACGGTGTTTGTTTTTATCTCAGCTTAATGTAGTCACTTACTCATCGGTATTTATATCTTAGTAAGTCTTGTTATCCTACCCTACTCTCCCCTCATTTCCTAACTCAGTCTTTGTCTCACTTTCTAGGCCACCCCCTAGAGATGCAACATTTGTAAATGGTCCAATTCTCTTCTAAAGATGTAGCGAGGCTTGCTGTTTATGCTAAACCACCATATCTACCACAGCCCAAACTGTCTGTCCTGGCACTCATGTCTTCCTACCCTCCTTATTTTCCCCTTACTATCTCTGATCTTGCTACTGTCATGGAAAAATCAAATTAGGTTTATAACTTGGAGAAGCATTTAAAATTTGATAAACAGGTGACAATGAAACTACAGATGTTAAACCTTCAGGGTCAGGGAGATGGATGTCAGACCCTGATGATTAAAGAGAGGGAAGTCAGCCTCTGAGCAGGATGGGGTTGTGCTGCAAAGACATATGTTAGACCCTTAGTGTCAGGGAGATGGATGTCAGACCTCTCAGGTAAGGGAGACATGTCAAACCATAAAGAGATGAAATACTGGGAAATTTCTTGTTTAAAAACAGTAATTTGACTTTGCTTATATATATATATATATATATATATATATATATGTGTGTGTGTGTGTATGTGCAGGTGGTGAAATGAATAGCAACTCAGAATGGGTAATGAGAGAGCCAAATTTGGATTCCAGTTGTGTTCATTGCATTCATTATACACAAATACCATTGGGAAAGGTATGAATCCATTTTCTTTGTCTGCCACTAGCTATGGGCTAAATAGTAATATAGATTTGGATATTTAGCCTTGATTGGCAGCCAGTCTAGGAGGAGGACAATTCCTAATTAATATGTTTGTATGAATGAATGGCAGATTCATCTTGATCAAAGCAGTTTCGACTTTAAAACACGCTTCAGATAAGTATGATTTCTCATCTTCAGCTCATTTCTGAGAATGATCTGTCTGCTCAGACCCATTAGTATTACTTCACTACATACAGAACCAACCTGTGGTTTATATTACAACTATGCTGAGCAGACCTTAGTTACAGTTAAAGTAAGTATCCCACCAGAGCCACATACAGTTTTGAATTCAGAGTTGTCCTCCTATACTAGTTACCTACCATGTCTAGAGAGTTTAGTCTGCCCTGTCATTTAACCCATAGATGGGAGGAGAAGAGATGGATTCATAACTTTCTTGAGTATATTTGTTTGAAAAAAGGAAATGTAACAGTCTCAATTGGAACTTTGACTCTGCTTGCTAATCTCTTGTTTTGAACCTCTAACCATTACACAAAGCTGCACATTCAGAATGGATGGCAGCACAAAAAGAGTTAGTACTGGCTCAAATTTTATTAAGTACAACAAAAAACAACAACTTGTGGATAGTTATGGTTACTCACATCATACAAGAGATGCCACATGAAAGAAGACTGCATCATATTGCTGTACCTAGTAATTTCTATGGAATGTGCATTTGTCTGTCTCTCCAAGATATCTTTTGGTGTTTTGACATTATTATTTCTAGGTTTTGGGGGTAGGGAATCGGAGAGATATGCAACCACTAACTCAGTCTACCAGTTGTTCATTAGTTCAGAAAATGGACCAACCCAAAAGACTACTGAACAAGTGATTGTTTGTACAGGTGTTGATACAAACATTCTTTTTGTCTGTAATCATCACGTACAAGAAAACATCTCATGCCAATATAATTTTACTCTTTTTCTTTTTTTTTCCTCCCCGTTTCCACAGTATAAGAGCAATACCAATAATATGATTTTGTGAAAAAAACAGACAAGGTGGTAAGGCAGTGACAGTTTTGTGAAAATATCCAAAAATATTGGCCTGTAGATATGATTCCAGCCTTATTAACATCAAATAATCCAAGGAGAACAACAATGATGTTACTGGGATACTATGAACACCCACATAGAAAGGGGAAGAGGTGGTTTTATCTTGATCTTAAGTGTTTCTGCTTCTCTGCCTTCCATCTGCATGGCTAATGGATAACTGCCAGGACGGTGACCCGTTGGGCCTTCTCGGGCTAACATTCTCAGCTGACATGAAGTGGAAAGGCTATATTGAATCCATTGCTAGGTCAGCTGCTAAGAAAGTTGGTTCACTGTGTTGTGCAAAACAATTTTTCTCTCAAGAATTGATCTTATATATCTGTAAGTCTATTATTCCTCCATGCTTAGAATATTGCTACCACATATGGTTCAGTGCCCCTGCTATTTACTGTGAGCTCCTTGATAAGATCCAAAGAAGAATCAGCAATATTATTGGTCCTGATCTGCCTGCTTGGCTTCAGTCACTTTTCCACAGCCATAAGGTTGCATCTACATGTCTTTTCTATAAATACTTTCATGGTAATTGTTTGGATGAGCTTTTTTTCTATGGTACCTAGACTTTATGAACTTGAGCATAGTGAAGAGATTATTTGAAGAGATACCCTGAAAGTATTTATAGAAAAGCGACAGGGAAGCAATTTTATAGCAGTGTGAAAGTGAGTGAAGCAAAGATGCCAGGTCAGGATTAATAATATTGCTAATTCTTCTTTGAATTTTATCAAGGATCTCTAAATGTATAGCAAATGCACTGGATCATATAGGGCAGCAATGTAATTTATACTTGTAAATCAAATTCTGTTTATCAATAAGCATATGAATATTTATAATATATGCTTATTCTTAATCAGAATTTCTTTCTTACTTTCTTTTTAAATATTATCAAAGCTTGATTTCATAACAAAGATTTTTTTTTGTGAGGTGGGGGTTTAATGTCTGCTACAGGTTCTCAGGGTAACTAATACAGGAAAGCTGTATCCTTTGACAATGATTGAATGAATGGATGTAGCATCTGTCATGCAAAGCTACAACTTTCCTTCATCCAAAGGAATCCCGTACCAACATTTTAACTTGTCAGATGCCTGTTTCTCACTGATGGGAGTTAAGACCACAGGATATGAGGGTCATTTTCAAGGAGCCCTTTTATCTCTTCAGAGAAGCCTGGATATCTATGAAATAGTAAAAAAAAAAAGAAAGTTTTATATGACGTAAAGAACAGAATGAGAAGATTAAAGATAATGTATATTTTTAGTTGGTAATTGTATGTATTTTTCATTCAACAGTGGGTAACATCTGAAACTATCGCATGATCAGAGTAGTAGCAAGTCGTCAAGAGGCATCACATGGTCATGTCTACAGGGTATAAAGATTTATTCTCTTATTAAGATCTACTTATATCAGATTGTAATATGCTTCATCACTTGTTTATTTTAGTGAGGCTTATGACTACTTTTTTTAATACGAAAATATAGTTGTATAAATATAACCCAAGATTTACTATAACCTACCATAAATTGATACCTACATCAATCTTTATCTGACTTACCAATTAACCAAGTTTCCCACATACAAATAAACCTGTTATGGGGGGGGGGTTAATAATATCACATGTCGGGTTCAACAGATAATGAGGTACTAATAATATTATGTTAGGTAAGTCACCAGATAATGGATGAGCTATGGAAACAAGGAATATTCTCCCAGTTTCTATTTCCCCCATTATGGGCATTATTTTATCCATGATATAATAATACCTTATTTCATGGACAGAACAGAATAACTAAAATAAAAGTAATATTAAACAAGCTTTGTTCTCAGAGAGAGTTTTATACCCCTAAATCATGCACAAAACTATATACACACATTTACATTTATCCCATGCAGTAAAACTATAACACACATGCAACAACAAGCGGCATGAAAGGAGATGAAAAGATATATTTTTTTACCTGTATTTTATATATATATATATATATATATATATATATATATATGATGGCAGATAAAACTTTTTATCACAAATTTAACATAACTTGTTTTTTTTTTATATAACTTGTTTTTATCACAAGTCATCTACTATCACCTGATGAAGTACAATCTTAGTACTGAAACATGTAAGTTTTTGTGTAGTGATGTAAAATGTTTTTATTGTAATTTATTATAATAAAAATATTATCATACTATTTTGTTCTACTTTGTATTGAGCACTTTTTTAAAAAAGTAAATGCTACAAACTGGATTTTTACTCCATCTATTCTTTATCTAATTTGGAGATATATATATATATATATATATATATATATATATATATATATATAATTTACCTTTTAATGGAGACTTCTAACTGTAAAAGTATCCTTCAACAGAATATAAATGTGACTTTCCTTTATTTTTTATTTCACTTTCTTCCTTTTTTTCTCT